GATGATTATTTTTGTATTTATTCCAATTCAAAGTCCATCTGTCTCATCTGCAATGCGAGCGTAGCTTTATCGAAGAAGGGTAATTTCGGAGCGGCATTTCAAAACAGTGCACAAACGCTACGAGACGGAACTCCCTCCTAATTCTGCCCTACACTCCAAAAGGGGAGGGGCCTGAACGGACAGCTAAATGCACACCAGTCCATTTCCACCAGGCTCAACAACAAGAGCAAGGCTGCTACCAGAGCATCTTATCGTGTCAGTCACGTTCTTGCGAAACACATGAAGTCTTTCAAAGACGGCGAAGTTGTGAAAGAAGCATTCCTGGAGGCTGCCGACGCGCTTTTAGGGACAGTAAAAAACAGTAGCATTTCAACAGGTTTTTGATAAAAACTCAAGTTAGATACCGTTATTAATCAGCTGTACGTTTTAGTTTGTTTGAACTTATTCATTATAATTATTGTACAAAATGGTATAAGAATGCAAACTTAAATTGATTATAGTCTATTATCAATTCAGGTTAAGAAACTAGTGTTGCTTGCATCCTATTTTAAAGGCATTTATTTTTATAATCTACTAAAATGCAACAAAAAAATTGTTTGATTTTATTAATTTTGTCTTTTTTATTGCACTGTTGCAGCAGATTCCTGTGTAGCTTCAGATCTGAGTCGTCTTATTAGTGAGCCTCATTTATACTTTTGTAGCAACACTATTTTTATATAATGGCAAAGAAAGGGTTCAGAGTATTTTCTTTTTTCCCTGTGTCATATGTGGCAGCACTGTTCAAGGTTTCTTGAAAACATTACCCACTGTAGTGACGTGTGAATAAACTCCAACTCTGTATCAACAACACTGTTGTGTAACTTCAGTTAAATACTTGTATGTGTGTAGATTAGAAAGAGGTAAGATAAAGGATCTGCAGTATTTTATTTAGTATTAATCGTACGAAGGTCAGTTTTATACAAGTAGAAGTGTGTATTTACCTGGTAGTAGGCTGTCAGTAATGGCCTCTCTATTTGGACTGGTAGATCTCGACAGACTGTCAACTTTAAAAGTAGCTCTCGGTTCAAAAAAGGTTGGGCACCCCTGGTTTACACCATAACACCACACCCTCTCGTGTTCAGACTTGACATTCAGCAGAGAAAAAGGAATGCAACTCAACAAATGAAGTTATAACTTAAGGCACCAGAATAAAAGAAAGGAAATATAACTTCTTAACGAACGAGCTTCACTCCCTTTTTCCACTGGGGTTTTTAAATCCTCCTCTGACCCCACAGCGACCCGAGAGAGAAAAGGACGTTTCAATTTAAAAACATCTGCTCGGGAACTCGCTGCTCTGCCATCAGCAACATTCTGCTTCTCATCCAGACCAATCAGCGCTGGGTCGGACAGGATTCGGCACGACCCCTGATCTGCTTCACAATCAGACTGCAGACGAGAACATGCAACTATGGGATGGTGCGGGTCCTATTTCTCTGTTGGACCCTGAAGGCAGCATCTCCCTGGATCAATGGGATTGTTCTATTGGATTTAGGTCACATGACGGCGGTGTGTGGTACAGGTTCAAACCCCACTGCAGTCAGCATGTCGTTGTGTCCCTGAGACGCTTCACCCCAAAGTGCTCCTGTGGGGATTGCCCTCAGTATTGAGTATGTTAGTCGCTTTGGAGAAAAGCGACTAACAAGTAACATGTCATGTAATGTAATGACTTCACGTGGAAAAACATGCACGATATCAGACCTCAGAAGATGCACACAGTTAAAGTGCAGATGAGGTGTGTGTGGATTCAAGACTGATTTCCACCGTAAAAACATGTTAAACGTCCAAAAATATATATTTAAAGAACCAAAGTTTACGTAAACTAACATAAAACTAAATGTGGTCTGTTATTATAATTTAAAAGCTGCAGGTTGCAAAAAAACACCATAACATGTTGGGAAAAAGTATAATAATGCTATGTCAAATAATCCAGATGAACTGCTGGGTTTATTGTTTCACATGCAGTGTTTGTATTTGTCTGAATGCACACTGTAATAAATGAATGATTGTTTCTCAGGTCATGTTTCCGTGCCATGTGTCTTTTGATAGCATTTGGCCGCATGCTAACAGTGCTAGCATCTCCCTTCTATCTGCAGATCCAGAACATGAAACAACACGAAAGGTTATAGGAACAGTCAAACAAATGAAATGTCATGCGCCCTGAGCTCTGTGTGTTAGCGTGTGTTAGCATGTGCAGTCCTCTGAGAGCAGGTACATATCCGCAGGCTGCTCTCTCTCCTGCTATAGAGCGCTCGTGCTAATCCTGGATGCACACAAACAACTATTGACACCTTTTTCGATCTGACACCTCACTGTCATTATGCCTCTCTCCTGCTGCCTCGCTCTGTCTCCCGCTGCAGAACCTTCCAGATGCATTATTCATGTTGTTCCTGAAAAACACCGGAGGCGACAACGACGCGAAGAACTACAAATGGCTTCAGGCAGAGAACAACAAGGAGTTCAG